ACTGTAACATGGCAATGAAACCATAGAAAGGAGGAGTGGGTGGGATACAGCCAAACTGAACAAGGACAAGCTGGGATTTGTGGTGATGTTCCAGGACAAGGGAAGGGATGAGAATCTTGACTCCATGTTTCAGAAGGCTGATTTATTTTTTTAAGATATGTATTATATTAAAAGAAAATGATATATTAAAACTATACAAAGATAATAGAAGAAAGGATTTCATCAGAAGGCTAGCAAGGAATAGAAAGGAATGACAATAAAATCTTGTGACTGATCAGAGAGTCTGAGACAGCTGGACTGTGATTGGCCTTTAATTAAAAACAACTACATGAGACCAATCAAAGATGCGCCTGTTGCCTTCCACAGCAGCAGATAATTGTTGTTTACATTTCGTTTCTGAGGCCTCTCAGCTTCTTAGCAGAAAAAAATCCTAACGAAAGGATTTTTCATAAAACATGTCTGTGACAGGGGTTCTTCTGTCATTAGTTTTATTTTGGTAAAAGATTTTATTCTTTTCATGTGTAAAAACAACTGAGGATGCAGGAAATAAGGTTCAGTTCCTTAAACAAAAATTCATTAACTTTCATTTTGGTCTATCAGATAATCTTTACTCATTTGTTCCTGCATTGTAATCCTCCACAATTTTTATTTTATTGAAGTAAAGCAAACAGGAATTCATTACACTGTAAGACAAAAGTGAACTAGTCCACCTGATGATACTTTTAATTTCTTGGACATTCCTCTTTAATCAGGGTATTAAATCAAGCTGATAAGTACTTTTTTTTCCACTCTGAAATTTCAGGAATCAACCATCTCCCATTAGAATATGGTTTCTGCATTTAACTTCCTGAGATTTTGAATAAGCTTTGAGTAGCTGAACATTCATCAGTGAGTACTAATAGGACTTCGGTATTTTAAGCAAATGTCACTCTTTAAGTCTCACTGAGGGAAAAATTACTTCTGTTGAAATTGTTGGCCACAGAAATGCACAGCATCTAGGGCACATACTATGCCTGTACCATGTTTTTATTAATATCAAAGTAAAATTGAAGGTTATGTATCAAATCTGCGCAGTTAAGACAATTTGCCTTGCCTTTTTTTTTTTAATTTTAGTCTCAGGTCTTCAGCAGAAGTACAAAAATTTCAAATATGCATATACTAGTTGGACTGATTTGTTGATCCTAGCTGCATTGTTTAAATATTTTCCTTTTTCTGGGGCTTGCATTAGACATCAGATTATAAAGATCTCTGTTTCTCTTATTCCCTCTTTACTGTGCTTCTAACCACAACATTCAAGAAGTCAGTAAGTGTTAGCATGGGTATGAATTTCAGTATTTATTTAAACATGTTGCAACAAGAGCCAATGATAATGACAAAATGTGTACATTTTAGTAAAACAATTTAGAAATAATTTCTGATTTTCACAACTTTTGAAGGGTTTGTATACATCTTGAGTCAAAGTAGATAAACAGATTTGCAAGTTAAGAGGACATGTCATTCTTCTTTTCTGACCAAAGCTTAATATATTACATATGTCTTCTTCTATACAGTTGTCTTGTATGAAGTTAAAGAAGTATGTTTTGAAACACATTGATGTGAAGGCAGCAAATCTAGAATTCAATTCTTTCATGGCAGTCAGATAAAGAGATCTCTGGTAAAAATGTGAAAGTTTTTCTCACATCATATCATTCTGCTTCTCTTTTCTTACTCTCTGAATTAATGATCCTTTTACTGCTAAATATTTTCCCCATCCAAGAGCTGTAATCAAGTCACCTTTTAATCTTATTTAGCAAATAGATTGAGAGTGATATCAGGTTTGGGAATGATAGAATAAAAATCTCAAATCACTCATTCTCCAGAATTCCATTATTGATTTGATTTGTCAAACTCATCAGGCATGGGTGTTCAGGTGGAAGAAAGTTGCTCTTATTTTTCACATAAGAGGCTGAACAGAGGAAATTATAAAGTAAAGGAATATGAAAGATATAATTATTTTCAATGAGTATGGAAAAATTCTAGCTTAAGACTGAAATCTTTATAAAAAACATTGGTAGATGTGACTTGTGTTTTAGACCATGAGTTAATATCTTCATTTAAATTAACATCCCTTCACTGGTTAGATAATTGGTATGAATTTCTATTAAATGCACTGTTCTTTCCCAAATTGACAAAAAAGAAAAAATTTCCTCCCTTTGAAAGGAAATGCCAAGGAGACAAGAGTAATAAGCTAAATATATTTTCCCTTTTTTTGCCATCCTTGAAACCTGCAGTTTTCCTTTATATATTTCTAATGGTGTGATTGACAGTGTTTCTCTATCCACTCTCAGGCTTTTCTTTCTTCCTCTTCTAGCTACTTTAGTCTTCTCTTAAAAGGATGTTATCACTTTATTTTTTAGCAGAATAATACTGTTTTCCTAGTTTTGCTACAGATGACCATAACATTACCAAAGGCATCTCTTTCATCAAAACCAGTGGGGTTTTCCCCACTGGTCTTCATTGTTCTGTCCTGTTTTGTTCATTTAGTCTTTCTTTGTTCTAATAATCCCATTGAGAGCCATTTTTTAACAAGAGGCTAAGAAATGCTTGGTAATAGTGGCACAAAAAACCATGGAGGAGTGAGTGGATTCAGGGGTAGAAACAATGACAGGAAAACCTCATTATTCCATTCACCTAGTGAGATTTCACTTTCTGGCTTTCCTTTGGGTAGAGTGAATGGGGTCACTGTTTTGCTAATTTCCCTTCTTCTGATTGTTACTGTGGGTGGAACAGGAGCACCCATTATTGTCAAATGTGGCTAATAATGGAGAAAAAAAAAAGGTGAGCCTTGATATATAACCTCGTCTATGTGTACTGCTGGGGTACAATGTTGCACTGAAGTAGAACAGGACAGCTAGACAGTAAATTGAATAATAAGAGAGATTTGACCAATCCCCCTCACTTCATGTTGCAAATATTCTCTTATATATGCACTAATAGCAATTAATGACCTTTTTCTGAGCAATAGCCTCCTTAGCTTGCTCTATTAGCAAGCCCTAACATCTGAAATTTGCAATGTACTGTAATTTGGTTACTATGGTGATGAGAGAGAGCAAAAAATTTTGAAAGATTCTTTGAGTGTCCTCTGATGCTAAAGGCAAGTGAATAATCTGTCATAAAAGATAGATCCAATTCATTTTGCCTTATTGGAATAACTATTTCTACTGAACTGAATGAAAAAAAGGGAAATGTTTTGACCCTGTCACATCAGCAGTTTTGGTATATAATGGAGACAGAGTGTGGTATTTCAATCCTCTGGTACATGTTGCTCCACATACTTTCAGTTGCTATAGATAGCTATTCATAATTCAGTTATTGGAGATTCATATACTTATCTATTATGTGGTTTGTAATTAATTATTTAAGTTTATCCTGTAGTTTATTATTTGAGTAAAAGTATTTTGTTTACCATTTAGAAATTATACATCTAATATGTATTGATTCAATATTTTGTTAGTAATTTGAATCAAATTACTAACAAAATATTGAATCAATACATATTTCTGCTTCACAAGGAATTTATTACAAAGCTGCTGAATTTTTTAGCAAATTGCTAAAAGTTTCTTCTGATGTAATTTGTAAGTATGTATTAGGGAGGTGGTTTGAATCAGTGTACCAAAGTAAAATGCATGTAAAAAGTATATTTGATACATAATTTTCCAGAAGTAAATGGAAATAAATTCTTAGATGCTATAATTCTGCTTTACCTTTGATGTCACAGGATTAAAAAGAGCTAATTGTCAAAAATACTTAGGCAGTTCATGAATGTTAAGGTATGCAGAAAGATCAGGTAAATCCTGCCTAGGGTTACAAGAATTTAGGAGAACATGGGAAGCTACTGGACATAACATGAGAAACTGCTGAGTTCAACAAGTAACAGGATAAGTGGCTCACAAATGTTGCACAGACCACCAGGAGCAAGCACTGAATTTCACAGACATTTAAGGGAGAACTTTGTGAGAGACATGGAAATTTAAAATAATTCAAGAAGGTGAGTTGGGGAAATTTTATGGATTCTCTTCTTGCAAGGCCAACAGAGACTGAGTAACAATCTTTCTTTACTACTTCTGTGTTAACACCTCTCATAGTGGGGAGTGATAGATATTTGAACTAGACTAGCCAGAAACTAGAATGATATCTAGATCTGGAACAACTCAAGCTCTGAGCCAGCAAGTCAGCAAGAGGTTCAAGATCTGGATAGGGAAATCACATAAAATAAGATAAAATCCATGCTGATTCTTGAGGCATCTAGTAATGAGGCTTTCTCTTTATAACATTTAGAAAATGAAGGGGTGTGTATGTTCATTGTTGAACTTCAATACTAACCAGTCAGAGAAAAGGAAAAAGTTTGAGCCATCATTGGTGCTTATGCTCATTTGTCTGCTGTTCATGTTTATCTAAGGAAAAAGACACTGTTCATTATGATTCTCATGGCCTGCAGATTTGTAGTGTGTATATTTTGTGATTGTGTGTTTGTTTACTGAAAGCACATTCAGATTCAGTACTGATTGGATCTGCAAACAGGAATGAGAAGAACCCTCCTGGTGTGGGAATCCACTGGATTCAGCTTCCATTAATAATAAGTGCTGTGAGATGTTCAGTGACTATTCAGCATCTCACGGGACTGTGGGTCCAGTCACATCCTTCCTTTGCTACAGATGGGATTAGTTGCTCCCAGAGATTCCTACCTTGTTAGCTGACCAAAACAAAGCATTTAGGACTATGTTAAATTCTTTGCTTTTTAGATGGTGGATAGCTCACAGATATCCCAGGCAGTAATTGGAACTTCGAAATGTAAAAAAATTTAGAGACACACAATAAAAGACTCTCAATCCCTCAACAACAACAACAACAACAACAACAAAGAGAAATAATATGGAAACACGACATAGTAAAAAAATAATGTCAAAGAGCATGGCAAGCATCACTCCAACACTGTGTTTTTTCATGTTCATTTCTTTTAGGTCCATTTTGTGAAGAACCTGGTGATCCTTGTGCCTCTCAGCCATGCCTGAATGGAGGTATATGCCAGTATAACCAGTCTGGATATGTTTGCAATTGCCCTTCTGGTTTTCTTGGTCACAACTGTGAAATTGACATCAATGAATGCTCTTCAAGGCCATGTCAGAACAGAGGTACATGTATTGATTTGCCAAATGTAAGTATGTGTTAGAGATCCTTATTTAAACAGAGAATCATAGAATTACAGCATTGCATCATAGAATGATTTGGGCTGGAAGGAACATTTAAATATGATCTATTTCTGACATCTCTGCAGTGGGCAGAGACTTCTTACTCTAGATCAGGATGCTGGAAGTTGCATCCAACCTGACCTTGAGCACTTCAAGGGATGGGGCATTTACAACTTTCCTCCCATCTCACTATTTTAGCAGAAATGATGATGTGTGAGATGATGTCAGAGGTTTCAGAGAAGTCAAGGTAAATGGTGCCAGTTGCTCTTCCCTTACCCATCAATGCAGTTACTAGATCGTTGAAAGACACCATTAGTCAGACATAATTTATCCTTTGTGAAGACATATTGTCTGTTTCTAATCACCTTGCTGTCATCCAAATGCTTTGATATGCCTTATAGGAGGATGTGTTCCATGAAAGTGTCAAAACAATTCCAATGTGAATTTTCAAACTAGCTTTACATGCTTCATGAAGAAACATACAATTTTCTCAATGTGTCCTGTTTATAGTATTTTTATGACAAAAACCCCCAAATTCCCCATTTCATCACATCAGTTGCATGGTGATCACTTAAGGAACTACCTATGTTTTGGTTTGTTTTTTTTTTCCCTCTCCCTGATAAAATCAACTGACACAAACATGAAGCATCATGTGACCTTTATTTTATTTTCTTGTTCTTGCTTTTCATACAGCATAAATTTTTAAATTCCTTTTTTTCTTTCCCTTTTCTTTTCATAAAATAGAATAAATTCATGCAAAACTCACAGTGTTTTAATGCTAAAGTCATACCTGGTAGTATGTCAAAATAAACTGTTGATGTCCTTTCACTAGCATGTCTATTGCAAATAGGGATTGTACAGAATCAAAACAGAATCAAAAGAAGAGGTCAAAAGCTTAGTTATCATATAGCATTGATACATATTCATACAGAGAGAAAAAGAGACATCTAAATTACTGAATAAATGGATAGATTTCTAAGTTATGCAACCTGTCTAAATATTTTGTCTACTAGATATACTAGCACAAACTATTTTGTGCAATAGGCAAACAGTTGTAGTAGTTTGTTTCATATGTATAGAAATGCCTTAGTGGGCGTTGAAGTTTGCTGATTATACCTTTAAGATGAGTTCCAAAGAGGCACCTAAGCACTTCCAATTTCATTAGGGGAACAAACCCTTTAATTTTTCCTTTACTTTCAGACTTCAAAAGGCCTAAGAGCACAGGAAAATATTGGTGGGACTGTCAGCCCTAAGAAATATTTTGTTTTGTAAAATAACTTACTTTTCTTGCTGTTCAAATTAGAGATTGCAGTATCTGACAGATGTCTTTAACTGTTAAAGCAAAGCACAGACTTTATATGCTTTATATGGAAGGAGAAAATGGATACCCATAATTACCCATAATTTTCTTTCCTGCTCTAGTTAGTGATGGTTCGGTTATTGATGTACTTTGTGTACTGTTAGTGTTTAATCGATTACACTGAAAAAAAATTACACAGAAAAAAAATCAGAAATTAGGAAAAAGCCCCAAATTAATTATAAAACTCCTTCTTGATTCAGTTATGAGAAACTGTAATTTTAAAGCTGGTATATTTCCATCTAGCAAACTCAAGTATGGTATAATCTGTGCTGGAAGCCCTGTTCTTCTTGTCCTAAATTAATTTTGTAACCTATCTGAGACTAGAACTCTTGTGTCTTTGTAGACTGCTTTGTACAATGAAAAGTTGTCTTAATTGGTGTCTCTCTAGTAATACATTTAAACATCATAAACACTAAATTTTGTACTGCCTTTGGTACAACAAATAATTATTTCTAATTTCCCTTTCTTCTATAGGATGTGGCATGTATCTGTATGCCAATATTTACTGGCAAGTTCTGTGAGAGAATACTGAATCCATGTGAATTATTGCCCTGCCTAAATAATGCGACTTGCATAGCTCAGCAGCAAAACTATAACTGCCGGTAAGATTAGAAATTAATTTATTTCAGTACTTTGTTGGTTCACTTGGTAATGTTACACAGATTGCAGAAAGAAAAGACATAATTCACAGAGAGCACATTTATGTTTTAAATATATATATAAATATATAAATATATAAATATATAAATATATAAATATATAAATATATAAATATATAAATATATAAATATATATATATATAGTGCTTTATTCTGTTAGGCTTCTTGTAAATTCTGGGAGTGATACAAAAAGATTTAAAGCATTTAAGGGCTATATTTTTTTTCATTATTAATACTATTAAAAAATATATACATTTTAAAATGCTGATGACACTTGAGGAGTTATACTACATGTGCCACTCCCTTTCAGGGTGCATGAAGTTTATGTTGTTTCTGAAAAGATAAGGGAACCTACTTAATTTATAGTTCACAGACATGCATTAGTAGACTTTAAATTGATCCTTCAAGCAGCATGTGAAAAACTGTTTAATTCAGAAAGATCACGCTAAAAATTATCCATTTGAAAATACCAGAAATGACCCAATGTATAATTTAATTTCATTTTAAAATAGATTTTTGGAAGTTTTTTCCATGTCAGAAGGAGTACAGTTTATCCTGTTCCCCTTTGTTTGGCTTTTCTCTTGCTGCCGGAGTAAATTCTGATAAGCTTTACTGAAGTAAACATTTTTCAAATGTTAGGATAATCATAAAAGCAGAAAATTGAAAGCTGTGATACAAAAAAGCCTGACAACATATTATGAATGAACTTAGAAACTTCAAAAAAATATAAAAGTATAGAACACAGAGTTTCAGTGCATCAGCAGAGTTTCAATTTAGAAGACTTAAAATATAAATATAAGTAGAACAGTTTACAATTTTCCCAAAAAAGCAAATCCAAAGAATTTCATTCTTATTCACTCCTAAATACAGATATACATACAAACACACATATGCAAGCTCATATACAGATAGATCTTCCCGTATAGATATGTAAAACACTGAACAACAGTGATCATTAAGTTTCCAATTCTTTAAACTGGGACATAAGCTAATAGTTTATTATTATATAGCTAGTCTTCTCACAATATGTGTATATTAGTATGAAATGTGTTGAAGTTTACATTTAAAAATATGCATAACCTGAAAAATTAATCTATATTACCTTTATTAACAGAAACCAAACCAAAAAAGAAGTCATAAAATATTATCCTGGCCCTGTTATTCATATTGAATACTTTATAATTCCACAAAGTATTTGTAGAAATTATCTGTACCAAGAACTTTCTTGTACCATAGGAATTATTTATTAAAAATGTTTATGGGAAAACGTTGTGGTTGAACTATGTTTCCTTTGATAATATTACGTGAGAATAAGCATGGAAGTCATTATTTAGATCAATATATCAGAACATAGAAATGGGCAATTAAGAACCCACTTTACATTGGGGTGGGTTATAAGCTCATTAACACCAAGAATGTTCTAAAAGGGGAACTGACAACCTAGAAAACAACACTGTAATAGAGTTCAATCCACATAATCAACCCGAGCAATCAATTTGCCCACCAGACATTCTTGATGAAGGAGGAGAGCTCCAGAAAGTGACTCCTATCTTCCACAGAGAAATATCCAGAATAGGTGACTTGACACATCTTACAAAAGTTTGCAGTTTTCTTTGTCCAAAGGTAGAGGGCTACAATACAATAACAGAGTATTAGAACACAATAAATATACAATACTGTCAGAGACTCACAGAACAGCCAAGATACCAGAAGTATCTTCTGGTCCAACCTTTCATGGCAAAGTGAATTTAGATGAGATTACCTAGTACCCTCTCCAATTGCTTGTTGAAAATCTCCCGTGTTCTGCCTTAGTTTTGCTATTCAGTCCCCAAAGACTTCAATTATTGATTACAATAATTTTTATGATTATTTTTAATAAATAAAAAATATTGTTCTCTTTTTTTTTTTGGTGAAATTAAAATTAGTTTTCCACCACTTAGCCTGAAATAGTTAATAGAAGCATTTATGCCTCTCTACTTAAAAGGAGGCATTTAGGTGAGAGAAAGCATTTTTAAGTAGTATGAATTGTATATTTTATACAAGGAGACCACATTCAGTACTTTTGTTTGTGAGAGCTGCAATCTTGCCAGAGTGCTGAAATGCAAAGGAGGTGTTGACAGATAGAGAAGTCCAGGAGTCAGCAGGCTTCACTGTTTTAAGAATTCAAAATTTTCCTTTTAAAATCATAGTCTGCATTAGCTACTTGACTAACAGAGTAGACAGTGGTTGGACAGTTTCAGTTTTCTAAACTCACAGGCTTGGACACTTTCTGCCTGTTATTCATGTTTTAATTCACTTCACCCAAAGGAAATCTAGAATTAATTACATTGCTTTAATTTGAGGGATTTGTAGCTGCTCATCAACATTTTAAGAGAAGATTTGATTCATTCTTGGTAATCATTGTCAAATACTGTACATTATATCTCTGCCTAGTCACTCCACAATAAACTGCATGTGTTTCATACTACATTTGGTGTAATACTACATGTCATGCTGCAACATGATCCACTTCAATAGCATTTTGACATCATAAATAAATGTAATGGTGTTTAGGTCAGATGCACATACAAGTTAAAATAATAGCTGAATTGAACTTTTTACTTCATTACTTTCTATTTTGTTTCCACCTATGCTATGTTGTTCTCCTTATGCCCAAACTACGTTCTTATATCCTACACAATTCCTGCTTCTTCTCAACATCTCCTTCCTTCTTTGGAAAAGCAGTTGTTTTCCATTCTAAACATATAACAAAACAAGAACAATTTAATTTTCCCCACTTCAGTTATGATGTATGACTATTTGGTATTCTAATTCCATCCTTTCAGTCTTGATATCACACACAACTTTGTGCTAAGAATCTAATAGTCACATTTTTTCCTAAATGTCAAAATTTAAGGTGAATTAAAATAGGCAGTGAAGGAACAAATCCATCAAAATAAACTAAGATTGTTTGCTTTCTATCTTCTTCTATTATCCATGTAATTTATGATAATAAAAAGTCACAAAAAATGTGAAAGGGTGCTCTGAGAAAATATGTTCTGTTGGTGCTGTCTGTGGAACTTTACTGTCAAGTTGTTTTCCTGTTAGCTTACATTTCCCCTTCCTTACATTAGTATGTTTATTGCAAAACAACCAAAAAAACCCCAAAACCAGAAAAAAAATGAGCAAATATAAAAATTAGAAGAAGCCACTTCTAAAATTGTCTTTCTAGATTATCTAGTTAATGAAATAATCATAGATTAAAGCAAAAAATCTAGGAACTCTTT